AACTCCAGATTTTCAGATCAACACCCTAGATTAAAATCCTGGCTCCACCAGTTTCTTAACCTTAAGTTTCTTTGTGTCTCAGTTCTGCTATAAAACTAGACTATTTCATAAAGCCATGACTAAAGCACTTAATGACTTGCACATAATATTCATAGTAGTAAAGCTATTAGAATTTTCATTAAGAATTGTTTCTAAATACTGTAAAGTTAAAAAATTATTGGTATAATTTCATGCTTTGTGTTCTTTATTGTTAATCATTTTGTTATAAAATTTCCAAATAATTGAAACCTCCTTGCATAAAATCTATTTGTCTCTGGTGATTTTTTTTTTTAAGTACAGAATTAGATTCAACTTGCTAAGGTTTTTGCAAACTTTGCAAAATGAATTCAGTGGGTTTGTTTCTTTTTATTACCCTAGACGAGTGCATAATTAGCCCTTGGAAGTTAGCTAGAAACATGTAGGTCTGATCTTTTGGGGGTGGGTGGATGGTGTCTTTAGCAGCCTTTCATGTCATGCAGCATGAAGTGTCAGCACCACCCCTGTAACAAAGGCTTAGCTTGAATCTCATCAAGCCTCTCTACGGACTTTCTGATGTGTAGGAAATAAGATGGAATACCACGAGGAAATGAGCAGACAAATCCCCAGGGTGAGCCATGTGTGAGACAATTGGCCTGGACACTTCAAAATGTCAATGACATGAAAAATGGCAGGGAGCTGGTCCAGATCAAATGGAACATTTCAGAGACCTGACAACCAAATACAGTGAGTGAACCTTGATTTGGGGGGGGGGGGGGGGAAGCCATAGAAGATACTGGGGAACCAGTGGAGGAGCTGGAATATGATGGAGCTATACTATTACTGGACCATTTGATGATAATGTGAAGTTATTTTCAAATGTCTTAAAGTGGCAGTACTACTTCGATTTTGGAGAAGAATGTGCGTACTCTTAGGAAATTCATACCGCCCTATTTAGCATGTGAAGGGCCTTGGTCTCTGCCATGCAGCTTACATGACTTGAGAGCAACACCAAATGGGTGTGTGAGGGGAGAGAAAGCTAATGCGGCAAAATGTTAATTGCTGGGTCTAGTTGGGGGGTAGATACACATATGAAAGTTTTAAAATAAAGTCTGGAAACCATACAATGGAATTATGGGTCATTCCTTATAACTCAACACCCATGAGAAGCAATGTAATTTGTCATTTGAGACAGCATAGCCTGGATCCGTAGTCCGAAAACCCAAGCCGAAACCTCAAAGGTTCCTTGACCATGTGTGTAGTAACCATAAGCGAGGGACTTCCCATTTCTTCACTTTTATCTCCTTATCTGTTAGGATAGCATAAAGTGATTCTGAGACTGAATGGCAGTGAAAGCCCATTTTTGGCCCATTTCTGATATCTGGAGATATAGCATATTTTACCCATTTCTGATATCTGGAGAGTTACATCACCAAACATTAGGAATTCACAAAGGGAAGCCCTAGTCCACCGTGACTAATAACGTCAAACAGCCCATTGGATGTTGATTTCTTTCACCTAAATATGAGGCATGATTTCCTTGGCTGGCATGCAAATAGTAGGTAATAAAATGGTCTGGTTTCTACCCAGTGACATCATGCTGGACTGAATATAGTCTTTTGTAGGGAAAATAAGCTGATGGATAGGAACACAAACGTTGAATCGGGACCTGGAATTTGTACTTTTTAATATGCAGTCAAGGGATTCTGATGCTCTCTTTGCTTTGAGAACTGGGAGTAATCATTACTCCCTGGAACCAGATGTGGGGACAGAAGCTTGAATTAGAATTAATGACACTTCCCCCCTCCCCTTAAAAAATGTAGGTGAAAAACACTACCAAATTGAAGATGATAATGGTCCTAACATAAATGAATCTTCTTGAGCGGTCCGGGCAATTGTCTTATGCGTTTCAGAAAAGGGTCCTGAGTTTTAGTTCTAGCATTAACTGGTCATGTGAACTTGGGAAGTCTGATCACTTCTCTTGAACCTGATTTTAATGTGGCAGAATTGCCCCACCTCGGTGAACTGAGAGGTAGGAACTGTGGTAACCCACTGCCCTCAAGTCAGTTCTGTTTCACAGCGACCCTGTAAGGAAGAGGACTCCTCCAAGATTTCTGAAGCTGTAAATCTTTACAGACACAGAAACCCTCATCTTTACCATGGAAAAGCTGGTGGGTTTGAACCACTGACTCTAACGCTCAGTGGCATCGGGGCTTCTGTGAGTATTCAGTTTATATTTATTGATTGATGGATTGATATATTAAAAGCTGATTTTTTATTCTATGAGACTCCTATTCCAAATTGATTTCTCTCATTTCTACTCCATTTTCAAAAATTAGAGTTATTCTAGTTGCTAAGATCAATACATGTGGAGTAAACTCTTAATCCACATCCAATTCATTCACAAATCATACCAGTTTTGCCTTCAAAATCTATGCAGAACCATTCCTCACGATCTCCATCCCTTGTTCACTAGTCCAATCCACCATCACTTCTCGCCTGGAATACTGTAACAGTCTGCTTCCACCCATGCCCAACTTCAGTTCTTTTCAACAGAGCAGCCAAAGCAAAGTTTGACAATGTAAGTCATGGAGGGGAACCCTTCTGCAAGGTTAATGTCCCCACCAGAGCACTGAGTAAGTAAAGAATTTATAGCAACAGATTCTTGACTCCTTGTGTGACTGTTAGCTGACATATCTTTGAAGATGGGACAGGAAGGGAGGAGGGCAGTAAAAAAGACCATGTCACTCCTCTATCTCTAAACCCTACATTAGCTCATCATGTTATGTATGCAAAATCCAAAGCCTATGTCATAATCAGTTCTTGGGGCTGCTCCATGCACAATGAATCCAACTGCTGCCACCTACAGGTTCCTTACTGGTTGATTGTCAAAAGCAAATCGCCAGGCCTTTCTTACTCTTGTCTGTAAGTGCCTTGGAAATCTGTTTGGTGTCAAAGCAACATGCACACGTCTCCATTGACAGAGGAGTGGTGGGGGTGGCCATGCTAGAGTGGTATTGGTCAAAATCGAACCTGGATCGCCTACTTGGGAGGTGAAAATTATACCTCTGCACCACCACCGACTGGCCTTTGTCTGTCATAGCCTGTGGTGGCACTGGCTGTCCAGTCAGTTCTGACATACCGGGACCCCATGTGTCCCAGAGTTAGGACTGTGCTCCCCAGGACTGTCAGGGCTGTGAGCTTGCAGAAGCAGATCACTAAGCCTGCCTGCCAGGATGCTGCTTGGTTCCAGCTGCCAGCATCGAGGACAGTCCTTGAGTGTTTAACTCTGGGCACCACCACAGGGTTCCCATTGTTGTTAGATACAGTCAGGTAAAACTGCTAGCGACTCCATGCACAGCCGGAGGAATACTGCCCTGTCCCGTGCCATCCTCCCAACTGTTCTTATCTTTGAGCCCAAGGACTCCCTACATAGCCCATAAAGTCTCCCACGTGATCCGGGCCTTTGCACCTGCCCTTGGAAATGCCTGGAACACTGGCCACGGTATTTGCAGGCGTGGATGGCTCAAGTCCTTTCTCGGCTTATCCCGTTGCCTGGTAAATAGTCCCATCTCCACCTCTTTCTCCTCTGACTCCATACCACGCTGTAAGCCACTTAATAGGCAGTAGATAAATATTGTCCTGTGCTGCCAATCAACAGTAACCGCTTCTGCCTTTGAGCCCTTGAGATCTGTGGAAGGAATTAGGCTCTTTCCGCTCTCAAGTCATAGGCAGCGGGCGTGACTTTAGGGAACCTCATTTCCAGAGAGGCTTTCTCGTTCCCCAGTTCATTGGCTCCTCTTACAGCCCGCATCAGAAGCCCTGGGGGCGTAGTCTTTCCTCCGTTGGGCTGTAATCCATCAGGCCAGCAGTTCGAAACCACCAGCTGCCCCATGGGGCGTAAAGAGTTACAGTCTCGGGAACCCACGTAGCCAGTTCGCCTGTGTCCAGTGGGGCCACTCTGGACGGTATCTGACTTGATGCTGGTGAATTTTGCCCTTATCAAGTCCACACTCCTCCTCTTCCAGAGCCCTCCTGCGGATTGGTTGAATGCGCCGGGCTCTCCGTCCTCTCAACCAATGGTAGAGCAGAGTCTGGGCTGGAGGCGGGGCCAGAGCGCCGGCGAACACTCCTGGGCTCCCGGAGGGCCGTGAAGGTCCCGTCCTGGGGACGTTGCGGAGCCGGAGCTTCCCGGTGCCTGGACGGGCCGAAGTGAAGGTGGGAGTCGGGGAGAGTCGTGACGTGATTCCGCCTCCGCTTTGTCTCCAGAGGTGGTCCCGGAGCTGTGGGTGGGGGCACTCTGGCATCGTGGTGTTGGGGGTTTCGGCCAATTCGGGAGTGAGTCGGGGACCCGGGCCTGCGGCTAGGCCCTTACCGCGGCCACCGGCTGCGAAAATGCAGCCCAGGATCTTGCAGGCTGCCCCCTCCCCTCGCTCGCCGATGCCCCTTTGTCTTGGGTGGTCTCCAACGCCACTCCCACCCCTCCTTGCCCCCTGGGTGGAAGAGGAGCCCGCCAGCCGGTCTCTCCCTGATCTCTGGACATTGCTGTCTGCAACAGATTCCCGGTGGAATCTCCCCCCGCCCCGCCCCGCTGTTAGTGAGGAGCCGGGCTGGACAGGAGAGCTGAGGCTGTCCCAAGGCCACCCATTCATTCAGTAAAGAAGTCCTGAGCGCCCACCCAGCACTCACTGCTATACTGTAGTGTGGAAGAAACGAAAATGAAGCGAGCCTAGGAAGGGGAGAGTGATGGGGCCACCAAACACCGCAGCCCACCCTGACTCACCTGTGTGCGGAGCAGACTGCCCTAGAGGTTTCAAGGCTGTGTTTTTTTGCCCCTGGGGAGATTCGAACCTCCAACCTCTACCGTACTAGTGGAGTGCTTAACCGTTCTCACTACCCTGGGACTCCTAGTAGTCTTAAGAAATGGGTAGTGGGAAGTGGGGTGGAGAATTATCCTTCTAGCTTCCCTTTGAAACCTGTTTCTTCCTTAAGAGATCCTCTTCTCATCCCCCACCCCCCCCAAGGGCCACCTCAGCAAATCCCCTTCTCTTGTTCAAAGTTTAGCCGCAAACTTCTAGTCGGTATGTATTTAGATTAGAGAAGATTTACGTATTCATTTATTTAGATTATGTATGTGGATTAGAGGGGACCATGCATTTATCTAGATTATTTGTATTAGAGGAAACTTATTTATGCATTTATTTAGATTATGTATTTGGATTAGAGAAGATTTATGGTTACAGGGATCAATAGAATTGTGATAGGTATCAATAGAATGGGTCAAAAAGAGTAGCTATGGTATGCGACAGAATGAAGAAAACATTTTCTTCAGACGAAGAAGGTACCAACCCCATCAGACCTGGGCAAATCCTTCAATCCCGGGAACTTCAATACATTTCTAAAACAGAAGGGGTCGTCTCTACTGTCCCAAGGTTCTATAAGAAGAGAGGTTACCCCAGAATGAGATATTGTCCTGAGTGTCCTCTTGGGGTAGAAGTCCCAGGACTCTGTCATTTTATTTGTTTACAGTGATTCAAAACTTCAGTAGAATCTTCCTCACGGAATACAAGGAAGAAATCAGACAAGATCTGTGTTGGGCTCGTCCTTTGGAGTGAGGTTGCAGTACATAGGTGTGAAGGTGAGTCGTTTCTTTCTCTCCGGGGCAGGTAAGTTTTATGCTGTGCATTTTTATAAGTTTTATTTAGTCGGGGACTGAATCTTGACGGCTGGAGGATATAGGGACCAGGGGTGAAAAGGAACATTTTGAGATGGCTATTTATGGAGCAGGAGAGAAGCAGGTCAGTGGGAGGGGCTCTGGACTTTGAGGGATCAAATTTTAGGGTGGGAGGATGTCAGGATACATGGGCTTGAGCCCCAGCTCTGTCTCTAAGTTCTGGTTTCCCCATTTCCACACACGGAGATCTCTCTTCCAGCTCCGACCATCTGAAGATGCTGAGTAGTGGAGTTGGGTCCCACTGTTAGGGAATTTACTCATGGATGGTCTTGTTCGACAGAATTGCCAAGAGTATGAATACACGTTCATGGTGTTGATGAGACAATTTGAAGCATAAACGGGATGATCAGGTTTAGGTGGTGATGTTCTGCAAGTTCACCTCTTACCATCCCAGGTACACTCCACGCCATAGGGGATGGAATTTGATCTCATTTCATTCAACATTTCTTTTCTTAATCATTATATTGGGGGCTCATACAGCTCTTATCACAATACATACATACATACATTGTGTCATGCACATTTGTACATTTGTTACCATCATCATTTTCAAAGCATTTTCTTTCGACTTGAGCCGTTGGTATCAGCTCCTCATTTTTTCCCCTCCCATCCCCACCTCCCTCCCTCCGGAACCCTTGATAATTTATAAATTAATATTTTTCCATGTCTCACACTGACCGATATCTCCCTTCACCCACTTTTCTGTTGCCCGTCCCCCAGGGAGGGGGTTATATGTAGATCCTTGTGATTGGTTCCCTCTTTCTCCCCCTATCCTCCTGGTATTGCTACTCTTATTATTGGTCCTGAAGGGTTTATCTGTCCTGGATTCCCTGTGTTTCCAGCTTTTATCTGTACCCGTATACATGCTCTGATCTAGCCAGATTTGTAAGGTAGAACTGGGATCATGATAGTGGGGGAAGGGAAGCATTCAAGAACTAGAGGAAAGTTGTATGTTTCATCGGTGCTATACTGCAGCCTGACTGGCTTGTCTCTTCCTGTGACCCTTCTGTAAGGGGATGTCCAATTGCCTACAGATGGACTTTGGGTCTCCATTCTGCCCTACCCCTCATTTCCATTGATATGATTTTTCTTTTGTTTGTTTGTTTGTTTTGTTTTGGGTCTTTGATGCCTGATGCCTGTTTCCATCAACACCTCATCATCACACAGGCTGGTGTGCTCTTCCATGTGGGCTTTGTTGCTTCTCAGCTAGATGGCTGTTTGTTTATCTTCAAGCCTTTAAGACCCCAGACGCTATATCTTTTGATAGCTGGGCATCATCAGCTTTCTTCACCACATTTGCTTATGCACCCATTTTGTCTTCGGCAATCATGTCAGGGAAGGTGAGCATCACAGAGTGCCGGGTTAGTAGACAAAGTGTTTTTGCATTGAGGGAGTGAGTACCTGAGTAGAGGCTCAATGTCCATCTGGACAGCTTCATTTTTTTCCTCTCCACTTATCACGATGTTATTTGTAAGTCCAGTTGTAAGGATGATTGTTGTTCTTCTTCGTGTTCGGTGTATTTCACGTTGGAGGCTGTCTCTGACCTTCATAAGTAAGTGCGTTAAGTTGTCTTCACTTTTGCAAAGTTTGTTTTTCATTTTTTCAAAGTTGTTAACAGTCCAGCTTCTCAGGTTATTTGTTCAGCACACAGACGGAATAAGTCAGGTGAAAAGATGAAACCCTGCCACACATCTTTTCCAGTTTCACACTGCTCAGTGTCCCCATATTCTTTTTTTTTTTTAAATCATTTTATTGAGGGTTCATACAACTCTTATCACAATCCATAAATCAATTGACTCAGGCATGTTAGTACATATGTTGCCCTCATTCTTTTCTAGACATTTACTTTCTATTGAGCCCTTGGTATCAGCACCCCACCACCACCACCACCACCATATTCTATTCAAATGACTTCCTCTTGATCCATGGACAGATTTAACATGCGTATAATTAAATGTATCCAAATTTCCATCCCTCATCATGCTATCTCTAATCCACAGAGTCTAAACCCCTGATCTTATTTGACATTTCTTTTTTAATTCAGATTTTACATTTTACTCATCTGTCTTTTTAGAATATAGATATATAGATACATAGATACATATATATATTATTGGAAAGAGTTGTTATATTCAGAGCATTTAAATTTTTTTGTTTTGTTTATTTTTTAAAACATTTTATTAGGAGCTCTTACAGATTGTATTGCAACCCATAGTTCCATTGGATGAGAATATGTTTTCATGTATTACTTCTTATTCCCCACTCCATAGCAGCTAATCAATAACTAAGGACCATGTGACCATTGGTCAGAGGAATCTGAACTGGTAGCTGATATTGGCATGTTAAAAAACAAAAAATGGGCATCTCTGTATAAAGCTTCACTCTCTCTGTGTGTGCCCTTCGATGTTTTCAAATGCATGATGGTCCTCAGTTTAGAAGATCCACCAGTCTGTGAGGAGAGAGCTGGGAGCCTCATTGGCCTTCTTCCATTCTGCACCCATTTTGCGTATAGTGTCTGGATACTCCTCATGCCTCCTGACCCATGGCCTCATCCTTCCCTCCTCCTCCTCCTTCAGCCAGGACCCTACCTTCCTAGTGCCTGGGGAATGTTCTAGAATTACTTAAGAAATTTCATATCCAATCAAGCAGTGAGAAAACAGATTCCTCAAGCAGGTCCTCTTGGTCTCCTGACAAACTGTGTCCCTTCCTTGGGTCCCAGGCCTTCTGCACAGCACACCCCTGTTTCCTTCCTAACCTTCCCTCCTTTCTTCTTCTAACTCACTTCCAAATCCCAGTGGCTTCTACATTTTTTTTGCTCTCCTCTGTTCCCTTTGTCTTTCTGTTCTGAAACTTGCATCCCAGCCTGACAGATTTCCCTCCGTCTTTAAACTGTTTTGCCACATCTCCCCCTCTCTCACTGATGCTACTATTTGTGGTGTTCAGACTTAGGTAATGACCTTGGTTTCCTTCCTTCCTTCCTTCCATCATGCTGCGTGCCTCTACTATCTGTAGATACTTTCATGAAAATGGCTGGATTTTTGTCACAGTCTAAATGAGGGTATTGCCGTCTCATTTATGTGTTCATCTATTCAACCAACCCTAGTGGGCATCTGAGAAGGACGAGGAACTCCAATAGTCACCCTTACCACGAAGATGTCATCCAACTTATTTCCCTTCTTTCCTTCTTTTCCCCCCTTTAATGCATTTGGACTAATCTTCCTAATGTATTATTTTTCTCAGGTCACTTTTGTGTAAGGTGAAATTTCTTGTCAAATGTGGGATATTTTTCCTGAGTGAAAGGGGGACACTGTTAATAATAATAGCACAAAATACCTGGAATAGCAAGCCAAAAATGTTCTGGGGAAAACTGATATATGATCTACTCCTAGGGTGGCATCCCTTGCTGTCTTAAAAAACAAAAGGGAAAAAAAAAGTTCCCTTCCGTGGAATGCCCCAGCTGCCTCTCTCCTCTGTCCACTTTATAAGCTGAGCAGAAACATGGATGTGCTGTGGATGGTGAAGCAGTATAAGGACTAGGGAAAGTGAACGGTAGCACCTGAAAAACTGCGTGCTTGAGAGTGAGAAAGAGAAAGAAAGCACCAACGGAGAAGGCTAAAAAGAAAATAGAGTGTGGGGCGAAAGTTAATTCTGTTTAAAACTTGTTTCCCATTGACCATCGCATTATGCCCATCATTGTCTTATATTTCCCAGAATTCTATCATCTGATTCACTTCAGGCAACATGATTCTTTCATTTGTTTATTCTACAATAACAACAAATGCTTGAGCACTTACTAAATTTCTGACACTTCTCTAGTTGCTAGCAAGACACTGGTGAACAAAATAGAAGAATATCCTTGTATGTATATATA